TATAGTGGTTTACACGGGATTGGAAAGGTGAACCCAGAACAATACTTTAGGATGCAACAAGACAGTAGAGCAAGAGGAAGCAGGTTGAGAGTTGCGAAAGGAAATATCAGGACAGACTTCAGGAGGTTTTTCTTTACCCTGAAGGTAATTAATGAAGTTGTGAGGAACAGTGGTGGAGGCCAGGACACTGGACTCATTTGAAATACCCCTTGATGCTGTGATGGGAGGATGGGATGGTGGGTATTCTTGAAGGATGAGATCAGATGAGTCTTCTTCATGCAAAACCATTTTGTCATTATGCGACATTGGTGTTAGCAAGACGCAAATAGTGACACTTGCTGGAACCCTGGTGTGCAACATCAAATGCAAGGATTATTATTATTAATTAATTATTATGCGTGCCACACCAATCCACTCTGACACAATCTACGCCCCATTTAAATGTTTTGAGGGAAGAAGATTGTTTTTCTGTTTGACTGGGGATTATAAGAGCTTTATTTTAGAGTTGACATCAAGACCAAGTCTGCAATGAAGTGAAAAGGTGGAGTTGCCCTGTGGGATCCCAGATCAACTCAACAGAAAATATCAAAGTCAACATGAAGCCGGTCACTGTCTGTCCAGTGATGCAATTTGGGTTCCAGTTTCGGAAAACCAACAGCCTCATTTCTTTTCTTTTTAAAACCTGCTTATTTTCCTGCCAATGTTCTTTAAGTCATCCTGGCTTCGGTTGATAGCACTCTTTCCTCTGAGTCTGAAGATTGTGGGTTCAAGCCCCACATCGGGACTTTGAACATATGCTGACTCTCCAATGCAGTGCGCTGGGGTGTTGGAGATGTTGTCCTTCAGATGAAGTCGTTAAACCGAGGCTCTGTCGTGCCTGTTCAGGTGGGCATTAAAGATCCCATGGTCCTGTTCAAAAAGAGAAAGTCTTCCCCCTCCACCCCCACCAGGTATCCTAGTCACAATTGCTCATTAATTTTATGGCTGTTTTGGGACATTGCTGTGCACAAATTGGCTGCTATGTTTGCCGATAGCCTACACAGTCACTCCAGTTTACAATAAATCCTGTGAAGCGCTCTGAGATGTCCTCCCGATGTTAAAGGCGCAATATCAAATGCGAGGATTATTTATCATTTATAAATGGACTTGTAAAGCTGTCTTGAAACAATTGTGGGCATTGGAGTGTTCCTAGAACAAGACATGACTGCTTTCGAAAATTACAGTAAAGTGCAGTAATAGGGATGGTAACAGGGATTCAGGTCAGAGACCATCTCTATTGATTTTTGTTTCAAAGAAATTTCAACCTGGAACTGCTGAGGCAACCTGGTAAATAGAAACATTGGAAATTAGATTTTAGGGAGAAAAATACATTGATCTGAAAAAACACCTGCAAAAAATAGACTGTTTCATCAGCAGCTTAATACTTTGTCTTTCTAGAGGCTTTCATTATCTAACCAAAATTGGACACAGTTCAGTGATTGTGGACTTCAAGTGTGTTTTGTGAACCTAAGTTGTAGTCAGAGATTCCACCTGTCTTAAATGGCTGTTGTTTACGGTTTAGCTCAAATCTGGCAGAAAATACCTTCCCTTTCCTCTCTCTGAAAGGATTTATGAGGCAGTGCAGTGATGGACTGGACAGGATTTTGTGCACGTTTCCTGGAGTTTCCTTTGAAACTCATGCGTCTCATACCGCATACTTCTATAAAATTTATGCCACTGCTATAAATCCTTCCAAATTGGTTAGCCAGCTGCTGTCACTGAAGTATTTCTCACTCAGCCTCTCTCATCCCCTCCAACCCAACAAAAAGTGATGAGAAGCATGAAGGAAAGGTTTTTGTTAGGGCCAATGACTTTGACATATATCACTGGATGCTGTTTCCTCTTCTCCCACATGCAACCAATTTAGGAACGCACGACATTGAGTGATGGAGCCCTCCAAATATTCCGGGAGACGCAAGGTGTCAGCTTTACCTGATGTGGAGGATTCCGACACTTTATATCCTAAATTTTCGCAGCTAATTTTTCTGTTGTAGTTTGTGATTTGGGTTTCCTGTTCGGACCCTATTTAGAGGTTGTTTCGTGCAGTTATTATAGAACGGATGTGCTGGAGTGACAATGTGCATAGGGTATCCTTCAGATAGCATCTGTTGCACAGATTGGAAATCTGTCTTTTGCTGTTTTATAGAAGACGTTATTCACCAACACTGAGGGGACGCAGCTAGAGATCTCGCTCCCTCCCCTCTACAGTGTAGTGGAAAAAGCACTCTGCTTGCTTCATTATTGTATGGACTTTGACGAAAGAGCCTCTGACCTANTTTTTTTGATGAGCTGTTTTTTCTAACACAGGAGGACGGACACTCGTCGCCCTGCTCGTGATTATCCAAAAATCAAACTACTGAGAGTTCCACCTTCACATGGAAATTTCCCGGTGGGAATGCACTCGTATCCCGTATCTCCAGAGAAATGCACTCTGCTCACCTAAACCTGGAAAGTATTAGGTGCAGTTTCGCGAGAGCCAAGGCTTAGATACCCAGAGTGTGCCAGGTACTGCTGGAGTCTAACCAGCTAAACCTGTGCTTGCTTCATTATCGTATAGACTGGTTATGGTGATGATAAGCTTCCTTCTGTTTTGTACAGCTAGGACCCTACCGTTAAGAGTTTGACTTGTAAGGTTAAAGGAGCTGAATGGAAAGAAACCTAGTGATAGGTGGTCCTAGCTGAACAAGCACCAGGAAGTTTTCCAGAGTTCTCATTGGTTCTAATGTGCTCAATTATAGTTAGTTAAACACCAGCAGTACCCCAACACACACATTGCAATCCCTAAGCCTCAGCTCTTGCCTTCTAAATGTAAAGTCTCCAGGACTGGGTGGTGGACACGACTTGCTAGACAAAAAGAAACCCTAGAAGACGTGTGGAACTCTCAATAGTTTGGTTTAGAGACTAAACACGGGGCTGGGTTTTGGTGCACGTCACGACACCTGGCTAACCAAAATAAGTTTTGCATTTCAGTCTGACACCTTAATGAATGTTTGCTTGATGATAAAGCTCGAAAGACTGGATTTTACTGGCAAAAGACATCCAACCTCCACTTGTATTCAAAATTTGTTCTGGACCCTTCCTGTTCGATTTGGTAAGGACCCTCCCCTGTCTGCCTGCAACACAAGAGTGCTTCTGAAATGTTTCTGTCAGCAAGCTCCTTCCTTTCCTGTGAATCTTAACATTGAGTCACTCAACCACGATCTCTGAGGTGACTAACTAGAAATTGCAGCAAAACATTGTGAAACTGGCAGCTGTTGATCTCTCTTCTTTTGAGTAGGTCCAGAGATTAATCGGGCGTAAAAGTGTCGGGACGTCACATATTTCCTGTCTGGGAATCTTTGTTTGGTTGGAGGTTTTTTTTTGTCTCTTATTCTTCTGTTAAAAATAAAGGAAAAGACTCTCCAGACTTTTTCTTTGCATTTTAATTGAAAGCTGTTCTGACTGAGCGCAGCCCAACACGGTTTAAGTTTAATGTATGTATGTGGTATCTACCCTACAGAGAGTTGCCTGCGCTAAACTGCTTGTAATTTGTACATTAATGCGGAGAGCAACACCATCTGTGTTGCCTCCAGTGGGCTTCTAACATCTCCTTACGATTGAAAACTCAATAACAAAGTGCTCAGTGTAATTGGTAACCGCTATTTAGTGCTGTTCAATGATGAATTGCGCTCAGGGATTACTTAACATTCATCTCTCTCGGAAACGAATCCCATTATGTCGGGTGTAAGTGCTGGCAGATCAGCCAATTCAGCACCAACGTTGTCAGAAGGTTAATTTGGGATGTCAGTCACGAGTGTCGTGGTGCTACTGTGGTTTACAGTCTTTTATGCCGGGACATTTTCAGGGAATATTTCTTAGGATTTGGAGTCCCGTTGGAAAGTCAAGTCAGTGATTGACGTAGGTTGTCCATCAGTTAGCTACAAGTGGCACCTGAGAAGCAACAAAAGAAACAATTGAGGGTTACCGGGAAAGAGGTAGAAATGGGGATTAATAAAACAAAAAGGCAACTTTGGTTTTCAACAGGTAGCAGTGCCACAGATGTGATGGGCTGAATGGCCTCCTTCTGTACTGCAGTACTTGTGCTGAGTTAGCCAGGGCTAAACTTGGGTTTCTATAGGGTCTTTCATGAATGTCTTGGAGCCACTTCACAGAGACGAAAGGGAGCGCCAAGCAGGAGGGAGGATTGAAGGTTGTTGACCAACCGAAGGTGGCACTGCCAGTCAAAGAGAGAGGAGAGAGGGATTTGTGAAGGCAGAGAAAGAATAACTTGAAGTGGTTTTAGAGAGAGAGTTCCAAAGATCCAAAGACTTGCCCACCATTAGTGGGATGGAAAGAGTGAGGAAGGACCCCAACTCTTCTCTTGGCCAACATTGCTGCCCTACTTCACATCCCCCACCCCACCATCAGACAAGCTATTTATTAGCCACTTTGCCCCAGCTTTTAGAATTCTCTCCCAAAATCCCTCTTCCCTCCCTTCTCTGCTTTCAAAATCCATCTCAAAAGCCTAAATTTTTGACTATTATTTAAAGAGAAATGAGTATCTTCACTGTCCAGGGTAACAGTCTTCCAAATAAAATTGGTTGTCGGACATTGCTTTGTGTGGGTTGGCTACCACGTTCACCGATAGAATACGCACAATCACTACGCTCTACAGTAAATCTTGCAAAGCCCTTTGAGATTCTTCGACAATGCAATAAGGCGCTATATCAAATGCAAGGATTATTATGTTACCCATCCCTAGTTGCCCTGAAAAGGTGGTGATGGTTGGTGGGGGGAGTGGGGAGGGAGAGAGGCTGTAGTGAGGCTAAATTTGCTGTGGTGCTTTCACAATGGACCAGCTTCACATAGCCAATAGTGAGGACCACCAGGTTGTGTCTTGTGCAAGTTGTTGGTGTTGCGTTGTGAAGAAGGCTCCCCGTGGGTTTGAGGAAAACATTGTAATCCCATATTTTTGTGTTTAGTTCCGCTGGGGCTGGCAATGTGGCTGACCGGGTCCTTGCTCAGTTACTGACTGAAATGGATGGGATCGAACAGCTTCGCGAAGTGACCATCCTAGCAGCCACCAACAGGCCAGACATGATAGACAAGGTAAGGCCTTGATTGGTTTGGATGTTTTCTGCACTGAGCGTGTTTATGCTCTGACTGTTTAGCGCTGCGAGGCCCTACCCCACGTGAAGGGTGCTGGATAAATGTCAGCTGTTGCTTTTGTGGTTGACATTCTTGGTAAATTGGCATATCGTGATCTGTTTGTCACGTGGACTGAGTACAGGACAGTGCAGTGCACCAGAAAAATCTCCTTGATTTGCTTGGTGTTTGTTGTCCGCGTGTGGCTAACAAAGCATGAACACACAGACATACACCATCGAGATTTGTCAGCAGTTTTTCTTGAACGCTCAGATGGTTTCTGCACATATTCTGTAATATCCTTCAGTTCGGTTCCTTTATCTTCCGAGGCATCCTGCCATAGAGGAGCAATGCATTAGTCTCCTTTATAATACTTTCTGCTGACAATGTGACCTCTGCTAACAAGGCACAATTTCATGACTGCTTCACTAATTGAGACTCCAAAACACTCCCTCTCCTTTATCATGCTTCCAGTATAGCTGCTAATGAGAGGGTAATAAAGAGAGCATCTGCGGCACCTAGGGCTGAGCTGTCCTTGAAGCAGTATGTTGGTATGTAGGTGCCCAGTTGAACCAGTGCTGTTATCTGGAATGACACGTGTGGCTCATTCGTGCTGCGCTGAAGGAACTTTGCAATAAATTCCACCTTGGAGAGGGCGAAGAGGGCAGAAACCATTGCAATGATGATATTTCCAATTCGTCCATCTCTGGGTTAATGAAGATGAGTATCCCAGAACTATAACTGCCCGATTACCTCTTGCTCGGTGCCAACAAACACTCTTGTGGCTGGATAGTGAAGTCTGCTCTTGGCTTATCCCGCACTTGTGCTCAGCTGATATCACTCTTGCCTTTGTGTCAAAGGCTAGCGAGTTTAAGCTCCAGGCCAGTCCTTTGAAATTGTATTTTAGGCTGATGCTCTAATCCAGCGTTGGGGGAGCCCTGCTTTGTCGGAGGGGCCATCCCTTGGATGAGCCGTTAAACCGAGATCACGTTCTGTGCTTTCCCCTGTTATAATGCCAATGGTGCAACAAGCTCACAGAAGAGAAGCTAAATTATTGCTGCGTCAAAAAGCATTGTTAACTTCTAAAGCAGCATCAAATGCCCTTAAGGGAAGCCTAAATTTTGTGCCGAACTGCAGACCCTCTTCACTACTCAGTCCCACGGTCCCTTTGCCTCGCTTCCTCCCTCGCCTCCTTCAAGGCCGGTCTCAAAACCCATCTCTTTGACCGTGCCTTTGGTCTCCCTCCCACCTCTCTGCCTTCCCTCACCCCTACCCCACCCCTCCCCAACCTCGGGCCCCGACACCTGACTGTTCAGCGCTTTGGGACGTCCTCCTGATGTGAAAGGTGCTCTATAAATGTAATTTTGTTGTTGTTGTGTTGTCGTGTAGCAGATATGGTGAAAACACTTGGCTCTTGGCCTCAGCCAGGCAATAATGCCAAGAAGTAAGAACTGCAAAGGCCAATGTTTTAAGCCTTCCTTAAGTCGTTTGGATTGCTTTGTTTTGTGTGTGTGTTAGTGAAGGATAAGCAAACGATGGGTTTGAAAAGCACTTGAACAGGAAAGCGACAGTGGAAATGGTACCACACGCCAGAAAAAAAGCACCTCACAATGCAAACTGCATCTCCTGAGGGAATGTGAGCGGGTGTGGGGTGGCAGAGAGAACAAAGGTTTTAAATATATATAGGACAACCCTTTTATAACACAGTGGTTTGGGTATGTAAACATAGACTCAAAGCTAGAAGGAGGCACGCTGCAAAGCAGTTTGTCAGGTAATTTCTGACCCCACTTCCTGTGTTACATGAAGGAAATGCTTCTGATGTCACTTTGTTTGCAAAGTAAAGTTAGTGGGTACTTCCCCAGGCCACAGGACACCTGTGTGTCTTAATATAATATAATATAATATAATCCTTGCATTTGATATAGCGCCTTATCACGTCATTGAGATGTCTCAAAGCGCTTCACAAAATCTAATATAAAGTGAATTGACTGAATATTTTGTGGGTGAAACGCGGCAGCCAATTGCGCACAGCAGCGTCCTCACAAACAGTCGTGGATTGAGTGACCAAATTATTATTATTATTATTTTAAAAAAAGGAGGCCATTAAGCCCATTGTATCTGCAATAGTGATGGCTCTCTCACTGGAACCATTACGTGAATCCTATTTCCCTTCCCACCGTGTGGAGATGTGGTGGAAAGATAGAAAAAAATATCAAAGTTGTCAAAGAAGCAAATGCATCAACAGATGCAGATCAGTTCAATTTCAGACTTGGATGTTGTGTTGAGATTCAGTCTTCTTTCCAAAGGGCCTTAGAAAGCTGTAGAAGCTAAGACCCCTGTGATGATCTGCAGTGTGACTGCAATCTGACTCCACACGTTGTGACAAAATGCTTTTTAAAGCAAAACATGTTTGCTGGGTTTAAAATGGGGCAATGCAGCCCTGAGACACAGCGCCTGAAATCTGATGAGTCTACAGTAGAGGGCATCCCAATTAAACACAGGCTACATCCAACACGAAGGCTTGCCAAAGGCTGGATCCATCCATCCACTGCTGCCAGAACACAGCTTCCTGGAGTTGCTCTTAAAATCAGATTTAGTAGACGGATGTTCAATCCTGTGTGCACTTGAACAGTATTTGCAGTGAATTTGAGGAGTCGGGCATCAAGAACGTATTGGAGAGTAAGGGTCCTACAGGAGTTTGTGTTCCTATCTGCCAACGCTGCAAGTGCAATTACCCAGTCTTTTTTTTGAAAATAGTCTTTTTTTTTCGTGTCCAATTTTCTCCCACTGCTCCTGAAGGCACTGGCTCCTGCTGAGATATTTGTTCCACAGGCGCCAGCCACCCTCCGGGTTCCACATCCGCGTGGCCATTCTTCACGCCTGAGCCCAGACTGGGAGAGTGTCGACAGGCTATTCGACAGCAGAGAGCATCGTAGCCCAGCCTGAGCCTTGTATCCACACGCACACACGCACATACATACACACACACACGTGTAGTTTGCATTGCGGAGAGGTGGTTGCGGGTGGGGTAGGGTGGGAGGGTTTGCTTGACAGAACGCTCCTGTTTATGAGCACCAGAATATTTTTTAAAGTCCTCCTTGTGTTTTAAGTATCTCTCGGTGGTATTTTGTCTGTGCTGGGATTAAAAGCAGTGCATTTTTCTGGATACGCGCACACACGTATACCTGCAGATCCATGTTTATTGAGCATGTCTGCACGTGGGCACATTTACAGATTGGTTCTTATAAAACGAAATAGAGCAGTAAATCTTCGCTAGCTTTTAGCCTCGAGCTTCAGTGCAATCAAATGGCGGGGACAGTTTGAGACTTTTTTGGCAACTCTTTCAGTTCTGTTCTCTAAATAAGCAAAGCATGTCAGGCCGTGCCCTTTTTATTTGGGAAATGTGCCATCAGCCTGGAGAGATAAAAATCTAGTATTTTTTATTTAATTTTACCCTGCATAATTAATTGTTATGCAGGGCTTCACAATAGCTACATTCATAAAGGAACAAAATCTGACCTTGTTCAAGGTCATTTCAGTATTTTTTTGATGCAAATGAATGATCCCTTATTGCTAAATGTTTTCTTTTTTAGATGTTCTCTTTCCCTTGCCAATTTTCATTCTCTCCCTCCTCTCCTGGATGCGATTGACTCCTTTCTTCCCTTCCATTAGGGGGTATGTGGGTTCACGGATGTCGGTTGCCCTGCAGCAATTAACTCAAGAGCTTGTTCTCAATGAGTGCCCCTTAAAAGTTTCAGCAGAGTATTCGATCCTGGGGGAGAGAGGGTAGCAACTGAGACTGATTCAGTCTTCCTCCTCCTCCCATTGTCCTTATCAGTGGTGGCCAACCTCTTTGGACATCTTATACATATTATTTGGTTGGTCAGTCTTTTTGGTTGGCTGACAAAATAATCATAGAAATAACAAGATAGCTTACATTTACGCCGTAAATCAAGAAGTATTCAATCAAGAAACGTTCACTTTACCGGCCAAAGAAATAGGTTGGCCTCCAACACTCTTTGTACAATTGTACACTCACAATCACAGTTTCAGTACTGGGTCATTGGCTAGTGATCCAGAATCAGATTTGCGGAGAAATGTTGCCTCTCTAAATTGGACCACTGAGGTTAATCTCCCTCGTTCACCCCCCCACCCACGTCCCACCACCCTCGTGTCCCCCCCTGTACCCCACCATCACCTCGCAGTGCTGGCCCGACAACCTGAGCACAGACTGGGGTTTGCCTTGGTCTGTATAGGACTGTACTTCTGGATAAGCTTGCTGAGCCACCGGAGGAAGCTTTATATAATTTCTAATGGGTTGTGCAGATGGAAGTAGTTTTATATCAAGCTGACCTACATGTCGGGTGAAAAGAAGCTTGAAAAGAAACCATTGCTTTACCTGATTTTTCGTTAAAAAAATAATATATAGACCAGATTCCTGGAAATGATCTTAATTTATTTAAATATTTATATTTACGCATTAAACATATATTACAAGACCCTTGGGAATAATCAAATTTGTTAAAAAATATATACAGTATTTGTAGGTTATACATATATAAAGAACTAATGTCTGGGAATAATCTAATTCATGCTATTCGCTGATAACGTAAACTGCAAGAGGGGAGTTTAAGGGGAGTTTATCGTTGCTTTCTATAAAATACAGTACAAAATTACACTTGTATAGCACCTTTCACATCGCGAAGACCTGCCGAGGCGCTGAACCCCAAGTTGAGATGTGAGCGTTGCAATCACTCTTCTGGTCTTTATTTCATCACATATGCCGTGAGGTTTGTCAGAAGTGAATATTTTCTGTTCTTGCCCACGTGGCTTTTGCTAGCAGGAGTTAATAAGCAGCCTGCTCCTTGTCTTTGCTATACTATATGGTAGCACTGGAGGGCTTATAATCATTGCATAATCACTGCAAGCTTCTGAAGTGGGAGGAATAGAGTAGGTGGTTACAA